CCCACCCCGCGCTCTCTCTCTCTCTCTCTCTCTCTCTCACACACACACACACACACACACACACACTGCACGCGTTTAACCTACTAAATGTAAAGCCCCCGAGTGAACGAACTTGCCTCATGCTTGATTACCAACTACGTGCTTTCGTAAAGTTGACACGTATAATTATGTCTGTGCTAATCGGGCTGATTTTGCAACCTTGATGGTCTGACTTTCAACGCCGCCTACTTCACGGGTTTAACAAGAACAGACGTTGCAAAATAACTACGGAGAGCGAAAAGCGTCCGCATTTGTAGAGTTAACGTGCCCTCGACGTGCACCGTTTCACCGCGCGTCGATTTAAGTGCATAAATGCGCTAAAAACGTCTCGAGTTGCCTCACGCTAGCGAGTTTTAAACTAACAAAGAGAAAAGGAGGAACCTACCACGTGATGAGGAGCCGATTCCGGGGGAAATGTATGTAATAAATCCCCACGCTTAAGAAATATAGCAGTAATAACTGACAGGCAGAAGCAATTATCCAGATGCAGATTCCGCTGTTGCACGTTCAGGTGGAAAAATCCCGGGCCTCTCGCGCGCTCCGGTGCTCGGTAACCCCCTCCTTTTCCTCCTCCCACTCCTCCGGGCTGCGTTTAGGAATCACGAAATGGGCGAAAGAAACGGGGGCAGTCGAGCTATAGGAGCCTAGTCGGCTGTTTTTCAATCGTCCCCGACAAAAGCCGCGCAAAAGCAGTGAAATGTATCCCTTTTCCGGTCGTTCTTTGAGCGCAGTCCCTTCTCTCCTTCTCCGGAAGGTCTTCGTGCTCGATGTCGGCTTAGAAAACCCCGCTTTTGTCCGTTTTTTATTGTTGTCGTTCGAGGGGAAAGCGACGAGCTCGGAAAATGGCGGCTCGCTCCTCTCCCTCGGATCGCGAGTCTGACAAACAGAAAGAAGCGGAGCGGCGCAGTGGCGGGAGAGAGACGCGCTGCTCTTACCGGCCGCTAGAGGCGCTAGGCTTCCTGTCATAATGCGTCAGGACAATAGGGGGCGCCACGGTGAGGCGAAAATTTACTCTAGCACCAAAATGTTCTATTGAAATGGTCGTATTTAGTCGAAAACGGTCAAAATATGAATTTGCTCATAGTTAAAATGTTTAATACTTAAAGTAGCATAGCATGACACAGTATAACAAAGATGAAATGAACACCATAAATAGTACCTAGAGCCCTGCCTGCCCAGTGTTGAATGTTTCTAGAAAGAAGCTCTAAAATAAATGTTGTGCCAGTAGAGGGAACTCAAGAGTCTCTAAAATGACTAAGAGACAGGAAGTGTTCGAGAAAAACATTCTAAATTAAGTACAATATGACCTGAAAACACTAAAGAAATCAGATGACACTGCACTGAATTGCTATGCATTAAAATAAATGCTATTCTTGAACCCTGCATGTAAACTGAACTAAAATGCAAGAATTGTAGTGATAGTCGTTATAATCAGGCAGAAAGGCAAAAAATGGCAAAAAGTGAATAATTAAATGTGGAATTAAAAGGTAACAGAGTACATTTCTAGCTTAAAACTCTGCGGCTAAGGCAGCTTTTATCATAGTAGGTTAGAAATGATGAAACCTAGTTAAGCTTCCTGGTTCTAGAGGCCCTCATAAACAAAAAGACAGCACCATCTACTGTTTAAAAAGCTAGTATTTTTAACTAGCTTTCAGTGGCAATTGTTATTTAGCTGACCATTTTTGTCTGCTTATTCTAATAACTTTAAGTATGCATACTGCAAGTACATTTCCCTAAAATAGTACACGTGAATGTATTAAAACAGATGGAAATACACATATGACAAAAGAGAGTCAGACCTTAGAAATGACTGGGTTCCGTTTAATCTGATGGTTTACTGGAACCGCCATTATTAATCCAAATGTAGCTTGTAAACTCCGAAACGAACAAGACAGTGGTTCAACCTGCAGTCTGTAAAAAAAAACGACTGTTAGCATTTGCATGTATACATCAATTGTTAGATACATTTTTAAATATTAAGTCTGAATAACATAAATTAACTTTGGCCAGGTGTTTCACACTTTAACCCCTCTCAAAATTGTTTAAACGTTATATTTTAAGGTTTAAATATCAAACCTAAATATTCGTTACATAAAATAGAGCTAACGTTACTGTAAACATGTCGTTAGTCTGCCACTATCAGATCTTGGGAAAACAATAAAAAGAGAGTTTAAACGCATTTACGTAAGTAAGTTAAGCTTAATAGAACATTAAAATGTAAATAAATGAAAGGGAGGGGGGGGGG